CCCCAACCCCCCCCCACCCTGAAAGACCGATCGGATATATGTTGCCGGCGGGGCTAACCCCCGTTGGCACAAGATGTTGCAAGGGTCCACGTGCTTTGGTTTGGGCCTTTGGCTGGAGGTGCCATCAATCAGTTTCATTCTTCTTCTTCTTCTTGTCACGTTTGTTTCCTTGACAGACGACTCCGTTTCCTGCAATTTCCTGCATGATGCCTGCCATGTCTATGCTGTGATATACTTTCTGACATGTCCTTCGACCTTGACATATGTTACGGACTCGCGCGCTACGTTCAAGCGCATGCGACCCAACATGTTCCTGCAGGGAGGGAAGGCTGTCCATCTTCCATACAAAATGCACCTCAGAACACTGACTTTTGGGTTGTTTTTCTGTATGAGGTGGTTTCGTTTGGATGTTTTCGCCATAATGGTCTATACATGAATTAAGGCTTCATTACACTATATATTACACTCAACATTGTGCTTCGTGCTCGACAATTTCCTTGCGCGTGCAGCACCTAGCACCAGGTCCGAGGCACACTTGACGCAAGACTGCAAAGAAGGAACGCACTGACACATATTCCAGAGACCGTCACCAGACAAGTGAGAAGAACATATAATATGTATGTATGTTTACTTTGTGTTTATGAACCATGAGCATGCTGCATGTACATGCACCTTCTTTACACCTTTCCAACTACCCCTCTTGCTTTGCCAGTTCTGGATTCGCCAATCCAGCTCCACACCACTCCACCGGGCCTTTGCTCCGCACCGCTCCGCTCGGCAGGTGAGTGTCCGCACGGACCTGCGGGAGCGCACGCGCCGCGGCATCACCGTCACCGGCTTCGACGCCGTCATTGCGCCACAGGACCGGAGGGTCCGTCGTCATCACGGACGCGGAGGGCGGAGGGGCCGGTGTGGTAAGTGGTAGATGAGATGCAACTCACAGAGGTAGACATGGCAAATCATGGAAATATGAGGAATTATGTGGTGCTGCGTGTGGATGTGTAGCTCATTCAGTTTTCCCCAACAGTGAGTGGTGATTTTGTTTTGGAGCGCCCCCGTTTGCTCAAGTATATAGTTAAGTTTTATAAAATATCATGTGCAGCATGCGTTCGTGGAGGCACGAGAAGCCCAGTGGCCGGACCATGTCCCACAGAAACCCGAAAACCTCGATGTCCGAGTTGGTCAGACCTCCCAAGAGTCCAGGGTGCTTTCTCCGGGGGGGAAGCGCGTCCCAAGTCAGTCGGGGAAAACGACTGAGCATGGGAGCATCGATGTCCAAAAACGCCTGCGGCCAGTGGATTTTGGATCCAATCATATATAATATATATATATGTGTGTGTATATACATGGCTGGTGTTTACAACCTATGTCATTTGTCAAACATGTTGTGTCTAAGCTTCGGTGGATTTGTTGTTGTCATCTGGGGCGTATCACAAAAAAATCAAACATATTCAAACCAACCATGGTTTTCGTCCTTGAAGGCTGAGGGTATAAGGATTAGAGTCCTGTCATGACCATGTCTACCGACTCACCGAGTCGTCCACACCGAGTCCTCCGCGCCCGGGCTGGGCTGCCCGGGGAAAAGAAGGACCCGTGAGCGGTCGGGCCGATTCGGTGACCAGGTCCCGTGGAAAAGAGGAAAAGTCATCTCATATCCAAGGAAGAGGACATATGGAGCTTCCAGCTAGTGCAAGATCAAGATTTGTCCAATTGTAGGATGACATCAGAACATCAATCCGGTTGAACCCAAACACTTGCTATCGCACCTCGCCAGTCACAGATGTTGGGGAAGTCCACGTTTTCGCACAACGAGGGAACAGCTCCTGGTGCCAATCTTCCGATTTCCGCTCTCCGTTGTGGTGTGGTTGAGGACCTTCCCGCGTGGTTCAAAGTGCTCTATGAAGAGATCGGGGTCAGGAAAGGCACTATTCATCCAGGCAAACACGTGCCCCAAACCGCGGACAAGATTGAGTTATTGAACTATGGTCAGTTCCAAGGTTGCAGTTGTTGCAACTCTTTCAGAGGGTTAAGAACAGCAATGTCCAACGCAGTTGTTTGCATCGTACTATCATCATTATGTTTAATTCCTTTATATGTGAGTTGTTTTTTCAATGCGTTAGCTGCATATCATTTAAGTGGTAATGTCATGAATTCAGCACTACACATGGATCGAACACATGCGTCCAACAAAAAACACCTGCTCTTGGAGGAAGAGGACGACCGATTGCTACGGATCTCTTGGGTTCTCTTCGGGATGGTCCTGGCTTTTCTTTAAAAAGAAACGGAGTCTATACCGTATGCTTTGCCGTATTAATTTAACCCATCAAGGAGTGGCTCCAATATGAGTCCCTTTGTTTTGATTTTTGTTCACCCCAGATGAATCTAGATGGTTCAATCCATGGCAGGTGGCAGGTGATTCATCTAAGGAGTCTACACCTCTTGGAGACCCTATCTTGTTTTGGGAGCTGTAGGAGGTCCAGTGACCCGTACCGTACCTGTCCGCTGACCCTTCGTCCGAGGTTTTGGGAAGCGGTGTGCACTGACCAAGTCGCTTATGCCCATGACGGCTCAGCTTTAAACACCACGAAGGGCTTCTTGGTGATGAATTGGTGTGTGGGTGATTGTGGGTGTGTGATGTGTGATGTGTGTGGGTGTGTGGTTTCTACGTGTTTTTACCTACCCAGGAAAAATGGATAGCCCTGAAAAACTTACCGGAGTTGCTTTTTGCTTGTTTGAGGAGATGAGCAGATTTGAGCAGGATTTGTTTGTGGAGATGCTGAAGGAGTTTGTTGGACGGTTTTCTCCCAGCTGCGAAGCCCCATCCGACGCTCCGCTAGCCATCTGAGGCCTGGAATGCTGCTGAGGGGGGTTCGTGAGCATGAAGAGCAAGTGGATTGGCCAGAGCCAGTGGGTCCGCACTTGGGACTTCCAAAACTGGTTGACTGGTTGACTGGTTCTGACATGTGTGACAGTGAGTGTGGAAACAGTTATGTTATACAAGGGTTTTGTCATGTTTTGTCTCTTCTAAAGCAGCCCTCGACCCCATGTGAACCTTGGGGTGGGACAGAGTTTCTTTTGCATTGCCAACAAGCAGGTAGGCTGGTGCTCCTGTGTGCTTTCCAGTGTCCACCCCAAACATAGAGAAACGATGAGAAACACAGCACCATGGTTCAGTCATTGGAATGAAAGGGGGGTTATAGCCGACGTTTGTACGTGCCACGTGAGTAGGGGGAAGCAAGTCGTGCCTGTACGAACTGTCACGGGTGTTGGAAAAAGCGCCAGCTTCTGCAGAATGTGCCTCAGGCTGTGCCTGGATGATCACTAACGTGTGTTGGCAGGCATGTTCCCTAGGTGCCTTTTCACCGGATGCATGGGATGTTCTCGACAAGCGGAGCTCCAGCAGTCTCCGGAACCCACCCGTGGATTCGGGGGCAACGCTCTTGATCATAGAGAATGGCCATCTAAACGTGAAGACTTTGCTGACTATGGGCACCTCTATCTCGAGAAATCCCAGCATGGAAGTCGGTGATCGTGGTTTTGGACATGTTTCGAGTAGTAAGACCACACCGTACTCCTCTATGGTTGAACTCTTCACCAACTTCATCTTGCCCTCAGTGCGCATGGCGCCATGGATGCCATGGGCTTTTCACAAGACCGAGACCCTTCACCAAAGACTACCGCTGAGTCAGCTGCTGTTGCTACTTCCACCGTATTTGGTGGAATCCGACTTCCATGAAGCTGCAGACCAGCCGTGTGGCGGCCAGCGGCCCGGCACTGACCCTCCGTTTGCAACCGAAAAAAGCGGCCCTGGTCTCGGTGCGACTCCCTGCGACTCCCTGAAACCTGGCTCAATTGGGGGGCCCGTTTGGACGTCAAGGTCTTTTCATAGGAGTTGAAGACGAAGGCTGTTGGTTTATAGGTCTCGAACTTTTTGTAGATTCCTTAGCCACACGACGTCCTGCCGTGGTATGCTGTACGTTTGTGTTGTGCATGGTAGTCGGCATTTATTTTCGGAGATACACCCTGGAACTAACATGGAAGTGGATGGCATGGCCCCTTGGAAGACCATGTTCCTCTACAAACAGTGGGTTTTCCACTTCCATCTTAGTTCCAGGGATAGTAAATAGTCATGTTCATTATGATTTTGGAACGAGGCTGGCTGCTGGCTGCTGGGCCCAAGGTTTTGCGAAAGACTCAGAGGTTGGAATGAACTCAGGAGGGGCATAGATAAACTCACATACCTGGACTTTCAAGGGGTGTCCAATTGGAGATCCCTAAGCAGTGCAGGGGTAGTCCAGCCAGGACACCATTGGATGTTCCTGGATGTTCCTGGTATCTAGATCATAGATGATCATAGATTATCATAGACAAACTCACATACCTGCCAGATTTCTTGGGATTCCTCCAAGAACCCGCTCAACGAATCCCTTTTTGGGGATGTGTATTTGAGCACCCTTGCAGGCCTTGCAGGAAACCGTCCAAAAACCTGTTCACTTTAAGTGGCACTCGCAGAGCTTTGCTTTTCGCTTGCTTGCTTTTCGCTGGCGGCCAGCACGTTGATCGCCACACAAAAATGGAGAAAAACTCCAGGACCCCCAACGTTTGAGGAGTTGGATCCACCATTGATCAACCTGTCGGTGTCTTGGTCTCTTCCGTCTCGTCATGTCTCGTCTTGCGGAGCGGGAGGAGGTCGACGAAGTGACGAAGAGGTGTTGGCATTGTTTCGTTCAGGTGATGGGGGCCACCCGGAAAGCCAAGTAGCAAAAGAGATAAACAAATAAACAGATCAAATCAAATAATACTTAACTGATCTTAACTGCTTAACTTATAAGTGTTATTATTTGATTATAATATTATAGTTTATTTAAAACTTATTATATAATTGGTGTAAACCATGTCGGATATTCTAAGGACAATGGTACGAGTTTAATAGGCCTAGCCTTCCTCCACAATGGTCGGATTCTCAGCTCATCCAATCGGCGCACGGTGAACCCCCACAGGCCTTGGGCGCCTTTCGTCGGAACGAGGCCCCAGTGAGGACAGGTTGGTTGGGGTCGGCAGCTGGAACGTATACGAGTGGATGTTGATTGAAGTTGAGAGGATCCTGGATCTATTTGGGTTCCTTGGGTGATTCCTTTCACCCAGGGTTTTCCTCTGAAAGGTCATGTTCTAAGCCGCTTACTCAAGAGGGAAACCATTTGCCTTGGTTCCCTGGAGAATCCAAGACACGCGCGCCAGCTGCGAGCGCTGGGAGGAACTCGCATTGGATTGCGACCTCGGGGCAGTTCATCCGGCTACCCGGCAAGACCGCGAGGCAAGACCTGCCCAAGCCGCAAGCTTCCGAAGCTTCAAAGCCCAAAGAGGCTCTCTTTGGAAAGTAAGTGGCCCTGGAATATTGAGCTGAGCCATCTACTGGGCCTTCCTGAAAACGGAAGTCAGTATCGCTTTCTAAATCAGGTTCAGGTGGTGCCTCCTCAGCTTCATTGACCGGTGTTGACTCACTTCGTCTATTCTCCGGAGCCTCCGGCCACAGGGGTGTGGGGGACTGTGGGGGGTTTCCACTCCACCCGTGGGGAGAAGCGGGGCTGGACTCCAGGGCCTGGCTCTCGGAGCAGCAAGAAGAGACCGATGCTCAGATTGCCGCTGCCCGACAGAAGCTGAAGGCCCTGGTTTTTCCGGAGCTGAAGCAGTCGGACGGACAGGCGTGTGTGGCTGGAGGGCTTTGCATCCACACGCTATGGTATACCTTAGTGGTTGGACAAGATAATGAACCATGATTGTCGAGACTACTTACCTTGAAGATCCTTGAAGTTGTTACTTGCCATTTTCAAGGCGACACCCGTTCTCCGTATTTCTCAGAGGGAGGAGAACGCCGAAGCAATGGCGGCCTGCCATTCTCGGATGGCTTGGGGCTTCGAAGCGAGATTTGGGGCTCCGACGGAGACCGTCAGGTGACCATCCACTTCCCAAGATCTTCCTCCAGCCACGAAGACCTCATGTACTTGATACACTTTCCAAGATCAATTGCAGGGATCAGGACAGAACAATCAGATGCACTTGGGACAAAGGAGATAACAGGCGTTTTGCTACATACGGTACATATTACAGCATAAATATATGTATCATATTACAATCAATACATGCAACATATTTATAAGTTACCGTATATAACTATATAACTATGCATTCATGTTTTGTCTCTTGGACGCATTGCCAAATAACCTTTGGACAACCCCTTCCAATGGCTTTTGAGAGGGTGATCTCGATTGCCACCCATGAGCGTCCAGGTGCAGATGCAAGCCTTGCTGGCCGAGCACCCACAGGTGATTCCGAGCGGGCTGTCGGAATGGAAACTCCTCGTGCTTCTCTCAAACTCCAGGAAGACCCAGCGCCTCACCTCCTGGCCTTACTACTAGGAGCAAGGACCAATCCAGCGCGCCGAGCTCCACGCCTGGCCACGGACTCCGCCGGTCCATCGTCCGAAGCGCAGGTCACGGACCTCCAGTCGGGCGTGTGCGAGTTGCTGACGGAGGTGAAGGACGGCAGCGAGGATCCGGTGAGCAGTCCATGTGAAGAAGCACCCGCCCGCGCTACCGGTCTGATTCAGGAGCCTAGGTAACCTGTGGATAACGCAAAGGTATAATATTACAGATGAATTGGTATTATCGTTGGTTTTGAGATGTTTTTCGATGGGGTGAAGCATGTGTTGGTGTTGCAGGTCGCTGTTGAAATGAATACCATGAAACCAGGTGACACGTCATGACGTCTCAGGGCTGACACGTTTGACCTCTCCGGATTCTCAGAAGAGGAGTGCCGGGACAGAATCGATGAGTGATTCTCAGATTTCCCAGACACTCCATGGGACTGCCATATATATGCCGATCAGTTGGGGTGGTTGACCTGGGGTCAATGGGGCGGCAGTCCTACATGTCCTATGGCAGTCCCATTAGTCGTGTCTGGGTTTGCATTAAACATTTGAGGAAATGGTCGTTGGTGAGGGGAGTTGCTTGGGGATTTTCCAGGGATCGATGATGGGATCCATCGTTGATGTTCCGATGCTCAGGGGAATGGCCGTTGGTGTCGCGTGCATGCTTTCCATGGTCCGATCATAGTGCTTTCCATTTTTCATGAACTACGAGCGAAGCTGGCCGAATGCCCACCCCACTGTCAGGAAACGTCGAATCAACTGAAGGAGGAGGCGGCCACGGGGGCGTAATGATTGATGCAATGCTTTGCTCAGAGAGAACTCCCAATGGCATGACGGACTTCGGAGAACGGACGAGATGGGCACGGCTTGAGTTTTCTTCGTTTGATCTGAGTTGTTGTCCTTGTTTCGCCTAACCAAAGCAGAGCTGCCAGTCCCGAGACGGACGACGGAGACGGCATGGGACGGATCGCCAGGAGACGGGCGAAAGAAAAAGGAATGCAGCTTGGATTGCTTTACTTGTATCATCATGCACGCCCCAGGCTTGGGCGCATGCCCAAGCAAACATAGGCATTGTATGATGTTTGAAGATCCAACAAATGGTTTCAGGTGTTGATGTGTGTGCCGTTCTGCCCGCTGCACATACATTGGTTTGATGGATGACATGTTCCCGTTGGATCCCTTTGGACTGCGTGCGCTCCGATGAATGTCCTCTAGCAAGGCAGGAAGACGTGACAAGCCCCTGCACAAAGAAGCCGAAAAGCTCCCCGCACCTTCCCTGCTAAAGGCTTTTCTGCACTCCCATCATATTCGGCCGGAACTCTATTGTTGAGCAGTCCTGAAAGCCTTTTAATTCTGATATCCATCCTCATCCCACATGACTCTAGTGTATCACATGATCTCAAACCAAAGAAACGCTTGAAATACCAAGACCACCGGTTGACCGGTTGACCGTGTCAAAACCCAAGCGCTCCGCTCCGCGCCGAGGTCTTGGATTACTCTCGCTTCGATGGCATCGTGAGAGGCTCAGAACAGCCGAAGCTGGAGCGGAGCGATACGGGCCGAGCGACCGAGCGATGCCGGAGCGACACGCTGGGTTTGGCTGCCCCAAACCAGCAACGAGGCGAAGGACATGCAGGATCCGAGTGTTTTGGGTGAGATGGGAGTCTTGATTTCGATGGGGAATGGGTTGTACACCTGGAGCGAGTCCACCAGTCCACCGTCGGCCGAGAGAGAGACCGGTCCACGGTCGTCGGTGGTTTGGGTTGGACACTTCTCCACCTTCCAGGTCGCCTCAGACTCGGAGGAGGACTAGCGAAAAAGATGGCGGCTCCCGGCGGCAGGTGCACTATCGGGCCAGGTGGTGAGGTCACAGATGACCAGGTGGACGCTGCTGGGAACTCCAAGCCCTGCTACAGGGCCCTACTACAGCCCTGGATCATCATGTTCATTGGACGTTGCCTCACGTGCTCCGGCTCCTCATGTTGATGTTTGAGACTAATTGAACCTATGGGATGCACTGGGGATGCGAAGAGATGTGGAGATATAGTCAGACAACATTAGCAATCATGGGCACGCCAAAAAGACTGCCAACCAAGTCTTCAAAAAGGACATGCTTTGCAGTTCCATATTGTCCTGAGAAGGCCCAAAGGTGTTCTCCACGTATCATACCATGCAGTAAAGACGTATAGATCGTATCACGCCAGTCCAGGGGTCCACGGTTCTCGGAACACGGCGGCCGTCTACGGCATTGCCGTCGGGTGTTAGCGTGGTCTATGTTTATTGACCGATCATTGAACCCACTGACTAATATGTTCTTCAAGTGACTTGAAACATGTTGAAACCATGCTTGGACTGCGGCGTGACATGGCGTCAGGGTGTCGTACCTGGTGCAAATTCGATTGGGAGGGCGGATGCGACTCTGGCGCTCCTTTGGGCTCAAGGGCGAAGGCGGCGAGGCCACAAGAAAATTAATATATATATATATTATAATGTTTTAAATCTGAATGATTATGTCAATGATGTCTCAGTGCCAGGGCCTGTAATATGAGATGTTCAACGTGCATCATGTCAGATGGGTACAGCACGGCCGTCGATTTGGTCAGAGATTGGACGAAGAGATGAGAAAAGTAGTCCTGACATGTCCTGACCATGAACAGTTTTCAAGTCAATACATGGTTTGTTTCAATCCATCGAACTCCTTCATGTGCCCCCCACTTCCTCGCAATGGCGCCATGGCCATTTCTACAGCTACCAGGCCAGGAAAAGGGTTTGGGGTGTATGCTGGAGTGTTTGGCAATCCTTTTGGATTCTTTTGGCAGGTGGGAGGCCTTCAAATCATTTCAATCTCCTGCGACATTGGGCCTGTGCAGGTGCAAATTCCTTCCAAGCTTCTTGGGTCGCGCATTCCAATTTTCAAAAGCCCCCAAACACAACAGGACATGGTCTTTGTTGATGACCATGGGAAGATCGGTCTTTCTCCTGCAAGTGGAGGCATGATTGCTTTGGCACCTGATTTGTTGATGAGGCAATGGGCACGAACCGCATAGGACATTCATGGAAATTCATGTCAAACATCCAAGGGCAATGCTGGGTATGTTTGGAGAAAGAGCCCGAACTGCATTCGTGTAGCTCTTCTGACTCGCTCCGTGACCTCGGGAGCTTACCCGCGAGCAAGCTCACTCGCTCCCCGACTCCCTGGGTTCGGTTTAGGTCAGTGAACCCGACTCGTTCTTCTACGCGTCGACTCGTTCGGTTCGGGGTTCTCCCATTTAATGCACACCCAAATTACAGTGGGCCATCAGAGGTTGATGGCACAGACCCGAGGTCCTGAACAGATGGGGGTCCAGATAAACCACCGACATTGGGGGCTGTGCCATCTACTCTCAATCCACTATTTCCAGTTTGAAATCCCTGGAACCTCTCAGAACTTTTCCAATTTCTAGAACCCTTTCAGAGCCTTCCAGTGGCAGGTTAAAGCTCGACCTAGCGGCGGCCTCCGCCTTGCTCGGCGCGGTCATTGTCACCGCGGTGTTTTGGTGCTTTGGTCCCACGTGGTTTGGTGCCAGGATTTGGGCGGGAAGGGCCAGCAGGTGTGGTTTACATGGTTTATCATCATACGACTTCCGTTTTATGTGATATACATGTGTGGTTGTTTCACCATGTTTTGCCGGTTGCGGCGGTTCTTCAGACCGTCTTTGGATCATCGAAGACATACATGTTTTGATGAGGGCCGCCGGGCCCACGGGTCCCGGATCCGAAGCAAAACCTAAACCCCAAACACTCCACGGGACGGTCGTATTTACCTACATTGGGGTTGTGGTTTGAGGGATCAATGGGGCGGCATAAATGGCAGTTTCATGGAGTGTTTGGGATTGCTTTGGGGCAGGGAATTCATAGTATCAAACATATAGAACGCCAGACCTGGAACCTGTCGAGACTTCGAAGAGCCCATCGCTTGCTGAGGCGACGCCCCAAGGCTGCCGTGCCCCAGCCGGTTCCAGTAGTGTTCAGCTACCCTGTCCAGTCTGAGGCCGGGTTGCTCGGTCATTTCAGAATTTTGAGATGCTTATGGTGAGATGGTAGAGGTCACAGGCAAAAACGAGACCGGAGACCATCATATTATATTGATCATGTTATATGTCAAGGATGTCACAGACCACTTCATCCTGGAGACCTCATCCTATGGGATGTGTACTTTCATCGTTTTTTTCCTTTGGAACTCCACCCGGGACCTCCAAGGTCGTCCGGGTGTTGGCGAGCTGTTCGAACGTGTCACACGGTCGCTCGCTGTGGCCCTAAAAGAAGCAGTCGAAACAAGCTCATTTGCATCGTACGCGGAGTTCGTTGGGTATATATGAACTGTAAACTATACGATGTTGCATTCAATTGGTTCATTGCCTTCGATGATGGCCTCCTCTCAGTTGAGACGCCGCGTTCGACCTGCCACAAGGACAAGGAGGAGCCTTCCCAAGAGGAGGCAGTAGATTTCGACCTGCAGCTGCAGGAGGACGGTCATTTGGAGCGTGAAAGAATCTGAGAGTGCCGAAGTGGTGCACCAGGTGTCCATGAAAGTTAAGTAGAACTCCGACTTGCGATAAAAAAAACACGTGTGAAAGGCGACAAAATCGTTTAGGAGAAGAGACGAATCCATGGTTCGATGGCGGCGATGGGCGCTGATGGGCGGTGCCTGGTGCCTGGAGCTACTGGTTGCGTCCTTGTTCCTATAAGTAGTAATGCCAATGTAATGCCAGGAGCTACTAGTAGCTTCTTGCTACTAGTAGGGTAGGTGCTACTAGTAGGGTAGGTGACTACCCAGGACATGCAGATTTTGCGGAGTGACGTTTTCTTTGAAAGGTTTGACCAGCAGCAGTTTGCGGGGTCATGGTAGTTCCTTCAGGAGGATAGAGTCTTGTGCATGTTTTTGCGAGGCTGCTAGTTATACCGTTATACCCTTCGTTGAGGGACCAGGTTTCAATTTGCATCCAGCCGGTTGGGCGAAAGGAGTCACGACTTCTTCAAGAAGCAGCGCGGACGGTGAAACTGGTGCTCTCCACTGGCGCCTTCCAAGCCCTACCTCATGCAACAGCCTTAGACCTCGCTCTGCATCACCACCGGTCCCCACCGGTCACCTCACCTCAGGCAGCCGATGTCACGACCCAGCGCCGCGACGACCTGCGCCTGCGCTGGCGCGCCACGTGTGGGCCATGCGGTAAGAAGATTGAAGAAGCAACTGTGCGAAAATTCCCCGCCCCTTCTCGTGAAACACTACTCCACCCTGGAGGGTTGAACTCAAAGCAGGACAGGCGCTGAATTGGGTTGGGTGATTTCATCGCTCAGGTTCATGTGGCACAGAAGCAGCTGGATGCCATCGCGTCGAAGCTGGATGAGGCTTCATACGAATTCTTTGGGAGGTGTTTACTGGGCGTGCTGATTGGGTAGCACGAACCGGTGGAATGGCTCTTTTCCAACAGGCTCCGACTCTCCTCATTCATCCAATGTTGGGATGCTTTTTCATACATGCACACCGCGGCACATGTTTGGAGCCAAAGAAGCATCCCTTTCGTCCGAAAGCAGAAAGACATCTAGACACATCTCAGTGTCCTGATGATCCGGCCAGACGCTGGACCGGGACGAGCGAGACGCAACTTAGTCGACCCACCTGTGGGCGGGACCTGTGGGACCTGTGGGCGGGACCTGGAGCGCTCTCTGGGTTTTTCAGATCCAGCGTGAGGCAAGATCCAAATGGGCCATGCCATCAAGCTGGGAGTCCAGAGATAGGAGTGTCCGGTTTTCGGGCCCCGTCCAAAGCCATGGTCAGACTCACCACAAAGCCATGTCACACACCTGGTCCAAAACGAATGACCAAAGGGGAAGGCGCCACTTGAGGGGTTTTGCCTGACTTGGTTTGAGGTATGTGGGCAGCACCTTTAGTTTGAGACATCCCAAAGCAATCCCAAACTGCCATATATGCCGCCCCATTGACCCCTCAAACCACCCCAATGTAGGTAAATATGACATATACATGGAGTGTTTGGGATATACCTGGAACCCAGACATGACCTTTGTTTTGATAGGTTCCAGGTATAACTATTTTTATGGTTGAACGCAGGATGTTCAGGTGGAGAGGACAAAGCTCTAAACTGATGAGCTGTTCTTGCTCGGAAGCCCTACAAAAAGTTGGTTTGATTCACGTGTATAATCGACACGAGTCCAAATCAGTTTGCTATAACAGTAATGCAACCCCCCTGCAAGAAGAATAAACATCAAAAAGCGACATGGCAACGCCTGCAGAAGCAGTGTATTCAGATGTACTGTATTCAGTGGGTTTCAATTCCTAAGTTAGCCACCTCCAAAAACCCTTGGTGGCAGCAAGTCAGCGGCTTTCTGCCTTGCCGCCTCCTTTTGCAGCATTCGCTCCGCCCACCGGCATGTCATGGTGGGACTGCCTCGCTGGATGCTGGCCACGTTCGTGCCGGTGGTCCCACGAACGTGTCTCCGCGCCGTTGGTCTTTGACAGCTGCATTGTGCGGCGGATATGCTCGTCGAGCGGTGCTCTGGAGTGGTTTGGGAGTTGGATGTTCTGATTGGAAGGGGCGCAACATCATGCAAAAGCAATGGTCTTCGTATGCGTTGACCCTGGTGTTGTTTAAAAGAAGAACGAAACTTGTGAAATTATGTGAGGAGAACCTACTTTTGAGTCATAAGGGGCTCCCCCTAGTGCAGATCAGGCAGCTTCAAAACAGTCAAACATGCTTAGCAAGGAGGCTTGCGGATCCCCCTTGGTTGCGCCATACTGAAATCCTAGGGGTAGACGTGATATTTCAGAAAAAAAAACTTTCGATCAAATTCGCTGATAAGGAAGTCAGGTAGGACCCCAGGAAAATACACAAGAAATGGGGCTCTTTTGAAATCCTTTTGCTCAGGGTAAGGCGCCAGGATTCCAAAAACACGTAAGACTACAGGATTTCACTAATATTGTAGGATTTCACAAGGTAGAGATGCTGGGGTTGAGCTAGGATTTTAGATATTCTAGAGATACTGGAGAGGACGCTTTTTGCTGTGGGTGCTTGTCGCCAATTTCGTTGCGGCATTTGCTTACAGATCTTACAGTATCTGCTCGGCTGATAGATACACATATATACAACATAAGATTGCAATCAATTTAATCAAATGATGGCTTGCGTATGGGGCCATGTAACCGTTTGTTTTTTAAATGTAAACAGTGGTACAGTCGAAAAAGCACGCTCGCTGCTTGAGTGCCTTTGGGAGGGCACTGGAGGGACCAGCTAAGGTAGATACCCAGGATTTTACTAAACGTTTGATCAGCCTGGACTCCTTGTTTTTTCCTTGGTTCCCAACCCCCTGAACACACGTCGGTCCAAAGGATTTTACAAAAAGCCCCCGTTGGGAAAAAAAGGCTAGGGAACCAATGAAAAAATACAAAGTCACCTTGGTTCAGTAGGATTTTAATACGTAAAATCCTGGGGATCTACCTTAGCTGTCGGTACGAAGGGGGATCTTGCGGGGTTGTGCAGGCAAGGACCACCCTGGAGTTTGGATACTTTCTTTGTGCGTTTTGGCCGATTTGGGTGCTTTTTGGCCGCGATCTTGGTGTCCGAATCTCAGGCTTGAACTACAAGCTGATCATCTCACTGCCGCATTCCTACAACCATCCAGAGGCTTCCAGAGAGAGCTATCCCGTGGTCTATGCCTTAGATGCCGAACCTTACCTCTTCCCACTGCTCGCGGTCGTGGCCCGCACTGAACACTTCTTCAAGCGGAGCACCTGGTTTCCTGACTTGATCATCGTTGGCATCACCGCAGACCTCGAGAAGGACGCACCGAAGATGGACCCGACTGGGCCCCCAGTAGTAGGGGGCCGTCAGAGGATTGGGTTTCTGTGTTTTTTTAGATCTTTGTGTTTGATCTTTTTAAGGGGGGATCCAGTCATGTGTTTCTGTTGCTTTAAGGCTCAACTATTGCAACCTGAAAAAACAACTGTATGGCGCAGAGTGAATTAGTAAATGTGGGGATTGCCCCTAGTGTGAACCACTCATCGCGTGGACCTGACAATGCATAGGTTACTGGTTATTGGATGCAACATGCATAGCATAGCCAGGGGATTCTATAAACCACCCGAACTGGGTGATGCTGGTATTTATTATAATGCATACTATTTCATGTGTTTTTGTGGATGGCATGGCCCCGAGTTTGGATGACGGTGGTGAACTCCGGCCAAAGCGCTGGATGACTTCTGACAGGACTGTCAGAACTCCTCGGGCATCAACGTGAAAAAGCTGTGGGATGAGCTTCGTCCAACTCGAGCCAGGGATTACCTACCCACATCGGCCGAAAGCCCTTGGGGTGCACCAGGGGCTTCTTCACTGAAGGCCTGAAAGTATCCAAGAGATATCCAATTGTTTGGACCTACCACGCACGTGGGTAACATGAAAAGACCTTTTTCTTGAGCGTGGGGCTGTTCGATGCTATATATAACTGTTTATCATAGCAACATGTGGCTCCACTGTATTTTCAACCCTGGGCACTCGATGTCATCCAGGATGTCTCTGGCCATGCGAGCACCTTCTGTGACTTCCTGTCCTCGATGGTCGTTCCATATGTGGATCACCACTTCCGCACCACGAAGCAAGGACGAGCTTTGACGCTCAGAGTGGTCCCAGAACAGCCCAACACGTCACCCTTCCGACCCCAAAATGAACCAACCTGGTCTGTGTATCACTTTTTGGATGACCCCCAAGGAGGTCAAACTAACCTGTATGTATGGGCAACACTTGAGCGCCGCTACTGACACAGCTAGTAACCGGTCAACTCCAAGAGTTGCCGAAAAGGCTGATAAAGCATCACCAGGCTGTGGTCATGTGAGTCAGGATCTTGGAATCTTGGGAAGATGGAGATCACCAACCGAGAAGAATAGAACATGAGGATTTTAAACCCTATGAATCCAAACGCGTTTCTCACCAAACACGCATGTAAATACTGCATGATTGGCCAAGTATGTGAGTACATGATTGGATTGTCAGTGAATGGGACACGGATGAGTAGTTCCTGATGGATTGGTTCATGATCAGGTATTCCGTCATATTCTACCTTAGATCCAGGTATGTTTAAAAAGGGCGTAATTAAGATGATTGAACCCTTTGCTCCAAACAGAGGCACCAACCAAAGCTGACGGATCGGGGGATGGCCCCCAGGGCGTGGTTTCTTGTACCCACAAACGCTGGCCCACGTGCGCAGAGGTCCATGAAACGGAACATCCAAACAAAAACAATGCTTGTTTTTTGAACCCCGAACTATTCAGATCTATTCAGATCTACGGTTGCTTGCACCGAACTATTCAGATGATCTATTCAGCAGATTTGGAACCCCGCTTTGAACGAAAGGCCTTTGGGCATTAGAAACAGCGTTTAGTGAAGTGAGGATCGGCAAGTCGTTTGGCGGCTCCGGAGTAGCGCATGCAATGCTGGATGCAGGCTGCTCGCGTTGCTTTCAGTGCCTCGCTGGAGATGGTTTCAGACTCATCCCTGTGGCTGGCAGACCAAGCCTGCAGCAAGGGTTTGCCACAGACATCTTGGGATTTCATGACTTGCGGCGCACATTAAAAAGAACACACACACACAATGAAGGCCATTGGATCATTGGATAGATCTTGTTCGCTCTAGAAATGTTTGCATCTTGAAGGACAGGCAAGCAATCCTCAAATGAATAGTTAGACAAAAACTGAAAACTGTTAACATTTGCTAGCCCTGGTCAAGATGTGAGGGATGGGAGCGGTAGTGGACCATCAGGAAGGAAGGAAGGAAGAAAGAAAGAAAGAAAGAAAGGAAAGAATGGATGGACGCAAGGAAGCCAAGGAAGCAAGGAAGGAAGGCAGGGAGGGAGGAAGGAACAAGCAAAAGTGTAGAGCAGGAAGGAGCGCCTTTTGTAGGCCACCCTAGGACAAAAACAAGAGCCTACCATGAAATCTGACTTTTAAGGGGCCAATGAGTTTCCGCTCCTTTGCCTTGCAATTCCCTTTTTATTTTCCTTGGAAATACCTGCCCAAGAGCAAAACAAAAGAATCATCTAAACAAACCACTTTTCCAGGACGATGCATCACCTGCGCACAAACATTGAAGTTGACCACAGTGGAGGGTCTTGAGTAGAAGCAAGTCCTGACAACGAAGTTCGTTGCTTCGTCAACGAAGCATCGGTCTTCCCAAAACGCCACGTGGGCGAGGTCTTCGTGCCTGCGTCGGCGACGTGTTTTTTCTTCTCGATGATTCTCCGTGCTTTGTCGCACCGTTTGCCGCACGCCGCATGTCCGAACATGCGACGGAGTGAACGGAAGATGAGTGTACTAAGTTGAGCTGATGGTACACGCCGTTTACACGCCATGAACATTCAAGCACACAAGACACAAAGAGGTACTTCCTGTTGGGTTCTCCTTCTTTGGCCTGGGACAACAAAGCCTTCTTCCGACTTGAAGAAGAACATCATCGAACGCTGACACCACTGGAGGCTTGCGTGTATGCCTCCTGCGGGAGCAAAGAATCCTGGAATAATTTTGGGAATGGTTTTTCAAAAGGTTCGACCAGGTCAGTCTAAACCGTTTTGCCCATTGAAAAAGTCTTGGATAGTCTTGGTGCAAATCCGTTTCTGGAAGACGTTTCCTTCCTGTTTTTTCTGCAAGATGTTGGGTTTCTCCGTTGACCTTTTTTGATAGGATAGGATAGGATTATAAAAACGTCATGGACATGTTTTTGGTTTTCAGGCCCCTGACGTTTCTGGCCATATCCTCGGTGTGTGTGTGTTTTGCCATTTTTGAGACCCCCCAAGGATCCCCAAGGTATAAAAACAATCACGGAACATGATGCATCATGTTCGATCAGAGCAAGCCAGGAAGAGAGCCAGAAACAACTCTTGCAAGACTTCCGAAGTGTACTCGAGAGCCGCTGCTATCCAAATCTCTCGATCACCCTGGAAGTGGTGGAAGGACGCACGCTTTTTTAAAGAAGGTGGCAGAAATCCAAATTCAAAGCACATTTGGCCCATAGATCACATATATTTATGTGCGTGTGTGCGTACCCTTGGCACTTGGCATGTTTCTATTATCTCACTCGCTCAAGATTTCGAGCATGTTCTGTGGCAAGCTAGGTTCGCGGGCCACACAACACAAAACCAAACACTCGTTTGGACACCAAACGGCAGACGGAGTCATCGCCGGTTCGCTCACGCGCACCCGACCCAGACGGCCAACGAACCCCCACGACGCCAAGTAGCAACACCACCACACCAGGCACACAATAAACCACAAGGCATTTGAGATCTCATGTTGAAAAACTGTGTTTGTTGGTGGGCTCCTTACTTTTGCGAGTCGTTTGATAAATATGATCAATACGAACAGTGTAGAGAGAAAACATGTTCTCTCCATGTGTTTCTTTGGTGGATTTGTTCTAAGACAGGAAGGCCCACAGCTGATCAAAACACACTTCAGGCCCAAGCATCTCTATCATACGATTCCTACCACAGCTGATCTGATAGGAGAAGACCACGGTTCCCTCTCCTATCCCTTCGCTTGTCGCTCCATGCGCTGGCTCCGGGACCGCTTGGCGGACACCAGGATCTGAAGCCGCGTAGAAACGATGCACCGAAGCTTCTGGAGTCGATGTGTCCGATGTGTCCCAGATGGAAGACCTCGAAGATTGTGGAAAAGGGCCTCAGTGAACAGTTGGAACATCTATATATAAGAACATCCATACGAACAAGAACATCCGAAGTACATCTCGAGTCATGAATCCGGGTGGTTTGCAACTGCCCTACAGTCCGTTCGCCGCGGCAGCTGGTTCCCTCTACGACTGTGCCACTGGCAAGTGATGATAGTTTCACTGGAGGGTTCATGATGAAAGCTATGGCGGTGGTCAGAAAGATGTCAAGCTATGCATTCTGCATTCTGTGCTTGCCATTCCCTCATGATCATGTGCTACCGACAGGTAGTCAGACAGGTAGAGAGACCAAGGACCATCAATGACCCATTCTCCTTTGCACGTCCGTTCAGACCTGAGACGTTTATTTACACTACCTGCTTGTGGAACATATTGCACTTATTTATACTGAGAGCTTGCGTGGGAGTTCACGCAGCAGTTCAAGCAATGGTTTTTGCTGCTGTTTTGCTGCTTTTGGTTGCGAAAGCGCTCTTTGTCGTTTCTCGAAGTCTCCAGCTTTCGTCTAACTCTTCAGCCATCCCTGCTAAGGCAGATGGCTGTTATCCAGGCCAGACGGCCACCAAAACATTTGCATGTCGGTCCGGCTGCATGACCCAGGCCGCATGCCTTGGTGCTCACATTTTAGACCTAGGTCGTTCGTAGAAAAGTTGGTCTGCAGCTGCCCTGTTGGTGTGCTTGTGCTGCTGCTGCCGTTGCTGCTAGAATGCTGCTACCCACCCGTCACCCGTCCTTGATTACCAAACTTTCTTCCACCGCTTTCTCTCAAGTTGTATTTCAGGATACATTGTGTTGGTGTGGCAAAAACATTCAAGAAGGAAGTCGGAACTGCGGGGCTTGCCTGGAAGCATGTGGTTGCATAGTTGGGACCTTGATATTTTCCGGCTGCTCAGTGACTCGGATACCCGGAGGTGAAGATTCAAGACGTATTGAACGATTCCTAAGAGAAGATGAACACATTCAGCAACACACTTGCATCCCTTTGGCATGTTGTCCTTAGTAAAGCATCTCATCTAACACTCCCCGAAAATCATGGAAGTGCTCGGTGACAGGCCCCTGGAAGTCCAGTTTTCTCTACCAACACCGTGTTGATTGCCGCTCAATGACTCGCTAAATGGCGAACCCAAACACACCGTGTTTATCGCTGCTAAAGCTATACCTGCAGCCGGGCAAACCGGCAGGTCTCGGATCTTCTGAGTCCTCACAATATGTATTGGCGCTTTGGCCGGGATGAGCCCATGAAGCAGCTTCTGGAGCCTCGGAGCGGAGCGGTCGAACGGGGGGTTCGGTTCTGGAGCCTGGAGACTCCGACTTCATCAACGGTACGGGGTTATTAAGCAAGAGTCCATTGTGAAGCATTCTTGGACATGCAAATTGATGAGCAGGTTTTAGGGTGGCAGGAGTGTCACTAGCAGTGCAGTAGCATTATGTAGCATTGTTGTGCTGTTTTCGTCAGTTTTACCAAAAGAACATTAAATAGGAATCCTCAGGGCAGACTATTTCACCTCCGTTTGGTTATGATACCCTTCTTGCTTTTGCTGCATGGATAACCAACTAAGATCAGCAGGTCAGCACATGACAGCGAGATGGATAATAGATAAGATAGATACAATGATTTTCCAAGAGGTGTCTATAAATAGCCTCTTAGAGGTTAAGGGGTGTCCAAAAACCACCTGTTGGAAGGTCCTGGTAGGTAAATAAGATATAGCATAGATATAGAAAATACGTAATCTACATTCAGATGCTTTGGAACACCGAGGGCGACGTGCAAGTAAGGGGCGCCTTGCTGAAAAATGAACATACACTTCGGAATTGTTTGGTGGCCCACTCAAGTATTGAAGCTGCATGAAAGGAGAGTAGAAGGTTGGTACAGTTTGAGCACTTCCAACGTTCCTCCAAACGGCCAAGACTTCATCCTCCAAAACGTTCCTGACTGCTAGTAGTTCCGCTCAGGGGCTGAATGAATTGTCAGTTTTTAAGTGGCCCTCAATGGCATGCTTGAGTTGAAACAGAGCACCCACTTTGCAGCATCCAAAGCCTGCATTTGAGCAACTTGCTGTTTGAATTGCGGCTATTGCGATCTATTGTTTAACCTAGACAGGGGGAATTCTCATCCCAACTCCGCCTGAAGAGATTGTCCTATTCCAAGCCTAACTTTATTTGGCGGCCCAGGAGACACCTTTGTTACAACTGGCAGTGGCTTGACTGACTTTCGTCGAGAACCTGTCACAAGGTTTCAGATTCGCATGGCCAGGTTTTGGTCCGGTTTTGGGGTGCAAATGGACCCCATCATGCTGTGTTCCAGCGGTTTTTTGCAGACACAATATGAGAGGCAGTGAGACCAAACAACCGGAATCACCTGGTTGGGTCTCTACTAATTCATGCTAATTCAAAGCCCGCCCTTTAGGGATGTTCAGTAGCACCAAGTGGTTCAGTAGAGACAAATGAAGTTCCACCTCAATGCAGGATTGCTCTGCTGACTAAACCCACTGAAAGCTGACAACTCCCTCCATGCACAATGTGCCCCATTACCAGTAACAGTCGGCAAGAGAATATCATATCAGAAGGGCTTGTAACATTGACTCTGACTCTTTTTTGACTCTGGACTCTGAACTGTTTGGTTTTAATTGAATTACGTTATTGTCATTTGCCTTTTAATTTAGGAATACTACTACAAATTTTGCGGACATCGCAATGCCAAGATCCAGTTCCAAGCCAAGTGGTGAAGAAGCAAGTCCTGGAGAATGACACATAAAATGTGCATGTCAATGCTGTATGTGGCTGGCAAAAAAATATCATAAAATATAACTATGTTTGAAAAAGGCCTTCATACTACTGTAACTATCATCATCCTCTTGCAAACGGGTAATGGGATACCCAACCTGCATGTCATTCTTTCCTCATCCCCACCACTCCTGGCCACTGCAGCGTACGGTGCTCGGTGCGCGTGAGGCCTCTGAAGGAGCTATGGTACCAGTGACCTTGGGCCATGTTAAGGAGCTGCACACGGCGCGCGCGGTTTTCTTGCGCGTTTAGCCGCGTGTCGTTTGGCGTTTTGATGCGTTTGGGCGTTGCTGGACCAGCGAATTGATCAGGAGCTTGCTGACAACTTCTTCTAAGGGTTTGATATGGTTTGATCATGTTTTCCGGAAGTCAAGAAGAAAGTTTGGGATGTCGATCGAAGAGATTTGATGCCGTCACCACTGTGAAGCACATCGGAGAACTTGGAGAGGTCTACTGCGTACAATGTTTGCCTTCCAGCTCATTCCAGAGATCATCAGACTTAAGGACACTTATACACGGACATGGATGCTTATTATACAATCTTATACACGGCACCCGGTTGGTAATCCCTTCCACCTATTAAGAAACACGGCCCCATGCGTCCATAAAAAACACCCTTTGGTATCGTTTTGGTTCATAGGGGGTCTCCTAAAATCGCCAAAACAGGGAGACCCGCAAAGATGGAATCTGTGAAGAGGTTCAAAATTGAAAAGTTGTCCAGGAAATGTTAATAATATACATATATTATATATATATATCCCTTTTTAAACTCGTATCAAAAGTTGAAGGGCCCCTTTTCCAGATCGAAGGGCCCCTTTTCCTTTGACAAGAACTCTCATCCAAATCATAATGATTATTCGACTGACTGGTGCTTAGTAGGGAATAAGGGAATGAGCCCCCAATAGAGATCCTATTGGATCCATTCCCTCATTCCCTGCTAAGCACCAGTCAGTCGATATTTTATGCTTGCAAACGTTTCTTCACTGGACAACTAAAGAGTTCAAAAGGTGATGCCCAAAACGCTCACCTTGGGCCGTCGGCCGCCGTCGGCCGCCGTTGGCCGCCGTTGGCCCAGCATGGCCTTTGTTCGTGTGCATGGCCTCGATGGTTTCAATACGCATGCGTTCCAAGTTTAGTCAAATGTTAAAACACTGGGAAAACAGTGAAAATTGCCCTCTCGGGATTTTGTTTGGCTCTTAGTCGCTCGAAATTCAACACCAAAAGTTTCCGATTCTGGGGCTCATTTGTGGGGAATGTTGGTGATTTCATGTGATTTCTGATTGTGCAAAAAGGCATTCCATCTGTCAGGGGGAGGACATAATACCTGCCCACATGGACCCTAGGTCCACCACCCCAATGTATCTACGACGTTCTGGCTGCATTCTCAGGAGCCAGGCGAATACCTCATCGCGCGCTTTCTGGCGCCTGGGCCGCCTGCGGAACGGAATGTCCCGTGCCACTAGCGGTGACACTACGCACGAATACATCACATGGTTCCATGGAGCTCACCCCTGTTCGTAGAGGCAAAGTCGTCCTCTTTTCGGGGCCGCCTGTTCCCATCCACTTCCATGTGATGGGTTTCGTCGGAGTGTATCTATGTCTCTGCATGGGATGATTTGGGGATTGGTTCAATCACTTTCAGCACTGAGGACGCCACTCGAGGCCCAGAAATCAGTCTTCAATGCTAGAGGTGTGGGGAAGATCACCCAAGGATCGACAGATCTCCCCATTTACTAATCCTGCAAAGTCACCTCTCACCTAAAGTGCTTTTCGCATTTGCTGCAAATGTCCTCTAATGTCCTAGTCCTGTACTTGGTTGTTCTTGTTCTTTTTTCACAGTTTACATTTACCGGCCACCAACACAAATCACCAGCGGCTTAAACATACAGTACCTGATGTGTTTTCATGTGTTTTATTCCACTTTTTCCGGCTCCGTCGTTTGGGAGCCAGCCGGGCTTGCACAGTGTTTTCCTAGCCAGCACTCTATTTCATCAAACAAAAGACCGAAAAAGCATCAGGGTCGTTTCTTAAGCTGATGCCATTTGTATTTAGACGTGGGATGATTAAGCTGGCGCCGAGATGGGGAGATTGCTTCATCCGCCGAGATGGCTCAAGTCTTCGTCCTTCGCCGCTTCGCCCGCCGTGTACTCAGTTCCTGTCGCTGATGCACGCAGTACTGAAGCATGGATCACGAGCGCAGGAAGAGGGGCTCTTCAAAGCTGCCTCGGCGTGCCAAGTCCTTTGCAGTCTCGTGTCGTCCGAGGACTTGAATTCGCTTTGGTCTTTGCCAAGCGTGACCAGTGCTGACGTTTTCATCAGCCATTCCTGGTCATGCTTTTCCTGGTTAAAAGTTGTTGCCATGTGCCATCATTTGAACCTAGATTTTGCCATTGTGTCATCTACTTTGGCTTGCATTCTGAGTGTCTTCACTTTGAGACTCCACGCTGGAAGCTTTAATGGTATAGCTCAGCAGAGCGGAGCCGTTCTCTTTGAGGCTTTGATATGCTTTCCAATGGGTACTTTTCTCATCTCGTATTTTTCGGGCCAGTGTATCTGCCGGAAGTCTTTTTGGTTTGATCGTATTTGCGTGAGCCAAGCCAATGCGACAGAGAAGGCTGTGACGCTTCAAGCAGTTCCGGCGTTTGTAGCAAATTCGAGGCAGATGCTTCTGTTGGTGGATGGAACATATTTCAAGAAGCTTGGCTATCCAAGAAAATCCTTGTTAAAGACCAGCCATTTGTTCAGTTCCTTCCCCACTATCGCACTATACGCGTGTTTCCAGAGTTCCAAGCCTTGGCCAGTAAGGAGATTGTGGTGCAACTATGAACTTGCGGTTGCAGCTAAGACGGTTGGACATGTACAGATCTTGCCTATTTGGGAGCCGGTGTGGACCTTGTCTTCACTTGGGGTTGGTTGCATCTTCGTTCCCCGGCGCAGTGGACTGCAGTGGTTCAGTGATCGAAGTAGTGGTCTTCTAAGAAACACATATGTAATTAATCATAATTAATCTAAAGTGTGATTAATTATTCCTGCGAAAGGCTCTATTGCGTAGGAAGCCTGTAAGCTCGAATGATGACAGAAGCCAAAGTCCCGCAGAACCTGCTTGTCATTCTCTCGGGGTCGCAGGCAATTGTGTGGTTTACATACCAGTCGAAGCCTCGCATTGACGGAGATTCGGACATGGCACCCTTTTGGGCAATGTGCAATTACTTCTACCTTCCTTGGCACACAGCGCTTCTTCTTGCTATCCCTTTGGCTTGGATTTCCTTGGCGAAGCTGGATCGACATCGGCTTTTGCTGGATCAGATGGCAAACTTTGACCTGCGACAAGCAGAGTGTGCTTTAGAGTCCGATCGCTTTGTGATCCAAGAGCATGTCTTAAGCCTCTTCGATGAAGCACTCGAGCCGCCCGTGTCTGTGGCATTTGGAGCCGAGCCAGATGAAAGCGAGGAGACACTCATTTCGCCTGAAACCTTTGTGGCAATTCGTCATGTGACCAGCTATCCTAATGAGCATGAAGTGTTGGACCAATTCAATGCCTACATACATGGCCCCTTGCGGAAGAGCGTCGTAGATTTGCTAGGCCAAGAAGTTCACGTGTCCGTGAAGCTATGCCTCATCAGCATTTGGCCCGGCTGGCTTTATGGGTTGATGGATTTCTTCAGTTGTGATTTTCACACTGATTGCCAAACTGCTGCCTCATCCATGGGCTACCCTTCGTTGTTCAGCTATTTGCTGATGAATGCCATGGTGCAGCTGATTACTACGCCGCTCTTCAGTCTCCTGATCCTTCCATCGCTGCTTCGCTGCAATAACCTCGTGGCCCGAAGGGTGGAGACCCCGGGCTTTCGGATGTTGTGCGGCTCATGCAGCTCAGCAATTGTGCTATCCTTGTGCAACACTATCGGAGGTGTGGTGCCAAGTTCCAAGGGAAAAAACAAACACATATAGCATCGTATAGCAATATATGATATAACAATATATAACAATAAGGAGATGTAGATTGAGCGTATCCTCATGCTTAGCTTCACCAAAAGAGATTTCATGTTGGCCCAATGATGCCAGTGCTAGCTGTTGAAACCCCACATGTTTCCCTGTCAATCTGTGACGAATCTGGAGGAATCTGGGTGGGCTCTTTTCTGATGTTTACCATCCACCATTCGATCCCTTGGCTTGCCTTCTTCCTCCTCGAGACCATCTCTGCATTTGGCCTGGCACCCTGAAGGCAATTTTGGGAGATTGTTGGGGCATGTGGTGTGGAAGAAGCATCGTTGGGATTTGCTTCGGATCTCCACTCAGTCCACGTTCCGGGTCTCCAGCATTTGCCGAACATTATCCAGATACGGTCTCCGGATGCGTCCGATACGTCTTTGACATGGAAGGTTGGACCAGTCTAATGGGTTTTGTAGCAAGCGTGGCTAAGTCAGGTGACGAAGTGGTCTCCAGGGTCGCGCGGAGAACATCAAGTGTGATAAAGGACATGGACAAGGATTTTACTAGCAGAATGAGTTTTGTTTCAGTCAGGGCAAGGTGCAAGAATGAACCATGACAACACAAACACCTGTAAAAATCCCAGGATGTGCTCAAAACAGCCGCCTCTTCCTCCGCAAAAATACAATGCCACGGAGGTTTTCGGGTATCTATGCATGTTGCTGTGTATAGTATGCAGCATATCTTGGGTTTGTCCGAACTTACCTGTAACTGGAGCCGTATACAAGAACATCACTATTTTGGAACAAGGCCTGCAACCTAAACATCATCCGCTGTGCCCTGGTAATAGGATAGACCCAACATAGAATGGATAACCCCGACACACGCAAACATGCCACGGAGAATCGTGCCACATGCTGAGGGCTGGCTTCTCCACAAGCCTATGAGGGCGCCAGCGGGTAGAGATGTGTGCTGTGAGGACTTGAGGTATGGCTAAATGCTGCTGGTGCTGCTGGCCAAATGCCATGCAAAAAGATCCTGCATTGAGCGTGGGCAACACTCCGTGTGATGAAAAAGTCACCTCTCCACTTTGAACAAGAGTTAGCCAGAAATGTTCATGTAAACCACTATCTTAGCTACAAAACGGTAGTGTGTTGACCAGCGTCCACATCATCCCGCTCTCACGTGCCAATACCTAGCACAAGGCGCAAAGGTGGGTAAATGGAAGACGAAAACCTTGCTCTCTCCTGCTTTTCAGGGGCGGGTGTTGTCGTGTCCTGTCACCCGATGCTTTTGAAGGAGGCAGGGATGGACAGAAATCCGTTACCTGACCCGATCAGACTCCCCGTTGGCCCAGCGGAGGGGGGGGAACGAGTCTCAGCTAACCAGTGGATACAGAGAGATGTAGGTTCACTAATTATAAGGTATTCACTAAACCCGAAAGAGGAAAACATTTAGAGCATCCCCCGAAAGAATCCAAAAGACAGAAAAATCCAGGTGCTGCAGCAGCACTGCCGCTCATGACTTTTTCCCCAAGGTGTCTGGCACTGATGCACAAAAGAGCCGCTATCGCGAGTTCTCCAGTGGAATTCTGGACGCCCTGCAGCGAGAGCGCTTGATGATGCGTTTGGAGCCACTTGGAGCGACTTCACCAGACGAGCCCTGCAGAGCACCACCGTATATGATCGCCAGCGAGCTGGCGCGATGTTTTGCGGAGGGAGCAAGAGAGCAACCGGCGAGTTTTGGGCCGATGGGTAACAAGACGCTACTAGGTGGAGGCCATCGCTATTAAAAGGTTGGAGACCATTACTTCTAGGAACAAGAAGCTACTAGTAACAAGAAGCTAAGAGAAAAAATAGTAGCTTCTTGCTACTAGTAGCGATGGCCTCCAACTTACATGCGATGGCCTCCACCTAGTATAGCGTCGTAGTGGGCATGAAACAGGTAGTTCCCCGCAAACTATACCATGGAGCCTGGAAATTGACCCGTGGGGTCCATGTTAATCTGCAGAGGAGTAGTTCCCCAAACCCTTGCTGACTTATGACCCCCCTTAAACCTTGACACCTTGGGATCGAGCATTCATGTAGCGAGTCCAATAGCTTTGAGGCTTCAGTTTTAGTGTGGCCCAAAGCGTCCGCGTGGTAGTTCCTGATGGTTTTGTGATGATGCATGTGGGCACTCTGTCAATGTCATGCATTCTGGACATCATTGCGCATCAACCTCTTTGGTTTTCCAGCTGCCTTCTCTATCAACTGATTGGAGAAATTACTTAATCCATCTTAATCCAACCCTCAGTAAACTGCAAGTGTCAAAGAGACCGGATATTCATGATCAAATTTATATGAATCCCACGATTTTACGATTGCATCCTGCCAGCTTCCGGTCACCGATGGACGACCCTACGCCACTTAGGACGGTCGGACCCGATTAGACGGGAGTGGTAGGAGTCTAGTGAATGGCCACAACCTCAACACCACCAGCATCACCAACACCACCACCAGCACCAGCATCAGCACCAGTGTCGACCGAAGAAAGGGGGGGCAATAGCCAAAAGGATCATGGTCACAACTCTTCCTGTTTCGAGGAATTCACGGCACCAGCGTTTGTTTGGCCACTCGAACTCCACGGCACGGCTCACTCGTCGAGCAGAGGTGGATCTTTCACTCGATGTGGGAAATGCCTCTCACCTGGGGGGATGGCATCGATGACACGGACTTTGCAGCACATGGTTCAGCTCCTTGGGCTGTGACAGGGCGTGCAGGTTCGTTTGCACTAAAAACCAGTTGGACCGGAGCCAGACGCTCGCGGTCCCGGCGCGATCGCTCCGAAGCACCCGGTCACACGTCTTGACCGAACAATGGCCGGGCGCCGGCATTGTTGGGGCGAATTTGCGTTGAGCCATGCCAAAAACCCACTTGCTTGCAATGAGTATAAGGGTGTCACAAGAGCTTCCACAGCTCAGTTGGGGAGTCTGGAATGTTCTCGGTGCGGCGTCTGGTGTGGAGTCGGCTTCCACCTCCTCGGACCGAGGCCTGGGGCGTGTCCGTGAAGCCGGCGTACGGGTAGATGTCGGATGGCGTTTTCCCGTGCGATCGTCGAGCCGGCGGCCGGCGTTGTCCCGGGTCGGGTCAGGCCGGTCTTTCAAAGGAAAGACGGCAAAAAGAGGGATCAGGAAGCGCCCAGCTGAATTGCTGGTATTTGGCTCCTTGTAGATGGGAAAAGAGGAGCATGATGGCATGATTCATGATCAAACACACACACACACACACACACACACAGACACACATGGTTGTTTGTTTTTGGCCTTGTGCGGTGGTATTGCACCTTTCGTTACAGATCTTTGTTGTTGCAGTGATGATTTGGGGCTCTGAAAGCAGATTTGTTGATTGTTCAACTTTCGGTGATGTGCAAAATGACTTTAACATCGTACTCGCTTCATTCTCTGGGCATCCGCAGGATCGCCATCCGCTTCCGCACTTTAAAGCGTGTCCCACGAAAGAGCCCCTGACTGGCGAAATGTCGCCAGAAAAGGTGGGGCGAAACAGCGATTCAGTGGGACGACGCCATCTTCAGCTGAGCCATGAAGACGCCAAAAGCAAAAAGAAACACTGCATGACTTGTCGTTTTTGGTGCTTTTGTCCAAGCGATGCTGTGGAAAAGTATTGGGAGGAGGGGTTTGGTGAAGGGCTTCTGGATTGCTGTGTGTGGCTGTGGGCAGGTCCAAGATCCTTAAATTCAAGCATTTGCAAATGGAATCAACTGACAGAGTTATTTGCTTGTGGATTGCTGGCATTTGTCAGAACCACAAACTCACCACTTCAAGAAGGCTCGTACAACTGGATACCAGGGCGCGCATTTTGTGGAGGCACAGCTGGCGGTAGAACCATGAGCTAGCTGTAGCATGCTGTGACCCGTCATTCGTTGTCCGTTTTGAAACACATGCTAGACTGCATTGCAATTTGCTTGGCTTCAGCATTGGCTGCATCGTAACGGGACGCGTGATCCATGCGCACATAGGCGCGCATCTCCCAACATTGGAGCGAACTTTAGCAAGAGCCTGCGAGACACGAAAACAGCGGAAGTTCCCACCGGACAAAGACTTTAGTTGTTTCTGTCGTTAGCCACGTGAAACTTTGGCACAAAGCTATATATATATATGTATCAAGTGAACGCTTTGGATGGGGCTTCGCCACTGAAACCTCCAGCCTCCAACTGCCACGGCTTTAGAGGTTGTTTTGCCACTCAACGGACGGTGGATCCGGCAGACAGGGGCACACCCAAGCGGCAGCAAAGAACGCTCCAACGCGTCGGACGGGGGGGTTCTCAGGGTTAACCCTAGCGAAGAAGAGAGCTCCCTTTATAAAAGAGGGTCACATCACCCAGGGCTTTTGTTAGACTCTGTTAGACTTAAGATGACTTGAGTCATTGCCAAAGTCATTGCCCAGGATGCATGCTTGAACAGTGAGAAATCGATTTTAACTCCTGAAGCCCAGCCCACGAGTACTACGAGTGGCTGGTTGTGCTATGAGTGTCATACCTTCCCGGAAGTCACCCAGACCGCGTTCCTTCCAATTCCAGCCACACTTCCGGGACCGTGTTCGGAACACGCTCTCCATGGAGAATGCTGCAGTGGTGAAGCTCGTTCAGCGGTGCTTGGCGGATGTCACGCGGAAGCCCGCGGCTGGGCCTCCAATGGCGGGAACGAGCTCTGCGGAGATAGTGTGAAAATGCCTGGGGAAAAAGCGAAAGAGATCGAAAGAGTGTTCGTGTGTGTTCGTGTTCTTTGTTGCGTGGCGTAGGTAGAATAAGCAGGAAACGAACAGTAGAGATAGAAGAGATAGAAGATGCCAAACATTTACAAGTGCACGGAGCTAAGAAGTCTCCCACCCTCAAAGCCGCAATAGCCTTAGCATGCCTTAGCTAGGCTGGGCTGGGCGCACTCCATCGCTAGGCTGATCCAGTGTATATAGTTTGGTGCAAGTTGCAAGTTGTCCGTATGATCATGTCTCGCAAGATGAGAGTTTGAGAAATAGCCGCCTAAGAATCCACTTGTTACATAAGGAGCCACTGACCAGAGAGTAAGTTCTTGCCCCATATAGGATCATATAGGGGAGGGACCCTTGTGCATCTTTGTGACCCAGCCTTCTTTGCCGGGTTCCGCTAAGCACCACTGAGCAGTTACCATATGAGTGCCTATACAGACTAATACCTCAACTTTCCTCAATTCCAGTCCCCCGACAAACGTATCCTCTTCCGCCCTGCAATTCCCTTTCCACAACTCATGATTTTTTCTCCGTCAGGGTCAGGCCCACTCCTACATAGTTGATGTATGTTGATGTTATTTTTTCAATGAGGGGGATTGCATCAAAGGCATTTGGTTGAACATGTTTGGGTACTTTGAAGGGTGTCCAATTCAAGGACATAGTTGACCTATTTGAGGTTGAGAACGTGGAGATCTACCTGGGCGATGAGGTTGGTTGTTGGTCATTAAGTTGACGTACGTGTTTCGCGATGTTTGCGCGTTAGTGCCTCCAAAGCCTGAGTGTTTGGGATTGTGGAGAACATGAATCATTAGTGGATCTACACTACATGGGTGCCGAAGGGGGTGAATGAAGGCATGGTGGCGGGTGGACTGGTGGCCCCTCCCGCAGCTTCGTGGGCATCAACGGTTCAGTCTCCCTGACGCGATCCAGTCGTGCCTCCCAAAGGTATGACTGGACCCTCCTGGCACCCACCCCAGTGCCACCTTCGAAACGAAGGTCCGACTGGATCTTTAGCACCAACACGCAAAGGGATGGCTTTTCATTTTTTCCGGTCGACTCACGGATATGAGACATGATTTCATGATTTGTCACGGACAGATGCAGTACAATCATGTACAATCAATACATGCATGCACTATACACCTTTGCATATACTGTATACACACACATATATATATATATACAGACACTTTAAGGAAGCCATGCCGCAAGCTTTTCCCGTTTGATACCCCATTCGCCTAACCAATCAGCAACACCCGGACCCGCAGTTCCCACGAGCGAACACCGGTTCGACCGGTCGTTCCGCGCCATGCGGAGTGGGACAGGTGACCACATGGCATTTGGCCTTACACTTCCCAGAGAGGGCACCATTCCAAGGAGATCCGAAGATGAAACGAGCTGGAAAACACCGGTGGATGTGGTCCAACCGCTCAGCACAGACTAGGCGGTTTTGCTTTTTGAAGCGAAGGGAGTGAGAAAGTGAGCTGTTTTGACGTGCCATTTGGGCTAGCTTTTCAGCTGTTGTGTCAATTAATGGTTTTACTTGTTTGTGAATTTGGTGGTGCAAAAGCTGTAATATGAGCAGGAGCTTGTGTCGGCATCACATGCAGTCTGTTGGGTGTGCCTCGTTGAAAACAGACCTCTTTCAAAATGGATTGCACCAGTTCCTTTGAACTCGTCTGACCATGTCACCGGTCGCCTGTTCGCCTGAGCTCGATGTCACACCGGGAACCGAAACTCTGCCTGCCACCGGGGGCCATGTGTTTGGACCGGTGTGGAACGGCCACATCCAAGAAACCACCGATGGAAAAATCCGCCTGTGAAACATCCTTTGCGGCAAGTTTCGGGCTGGTGCCCTTAGTAGATACATACTATTTATATTTATATCGATGGACCGGTTCTTTACCTGCAAAAAGTCATGTTCAAGTAGAGAACATAATGGTACTGACCAAGAACCAGAACATAATTATTGTCTAAACGCTCAATGCTCAATTTGCTGCAGCATAGTCCTAGATCACAGCAATGGAGAGCAATGGAGGTGGATTGTCACCCAAACCTCAGCATAGCAAAAGCTGCAATGGCCCCAAGACAGGGCATAGTCGCTCGCCAATAGACTGAGAGCCTACCCCAAAATAATTTTTGGAATTGGAGTTTTAGGCTCTCCGATCTCGCAGGAGGCCCTGGTGGCTCCTTGCGGGCCAGCGACTTCTCTCTTTACGCCACGTCAGGGGTGCCCGAAAGAGGTGTTGTCGTTTCGCACGGTGTTTGTGCCGGGGTTCTGTGGGTGAAATAATGCGGTGAAATAGCTAGGACAAAACCATGTGCCAGCTTAATTCTTCAAAGTAATCTTGGAATCGCCAAGTGAGCTCAAACCAGGGGATCAAGTTCGGTCACGAACGGAAGAACCCGGTGTGTGTCCTTTTGCAGGGTAATTACCCGTGTGAGTTTTACACTATCCAGGATGAAACGATGACTGAGAGGTGGGTCAACTTCATGAAAGCAGAAAGTCACGTGGGTGGATGTAGGTAGCGCGAATCGCTGGGTGAAGCAACCTCTACATGTCACGTGGGATGGCCCCAGATGTATGACCCCGTGGGTTGATGGTTTTCCTCGCTTCAGAATCTTAATAATGAATCAAGGGATGAAGTGGGATGATTTTAGGTATATAATTGCTGGTTGTAGACCCTGGTTTTGGTTTGCAAAAGAATAGGTCATCACAAGAGCTGTCGAAGTTTCACTGGGCGTTTTTCAGGACTCCCATTTGCATTTCTCGCAGCCTATTTTTCGCTTACTTGGCCAATCACTGGTACAACAGGGCAACGCCGCGGCCATGGGCAACACCGCATGCTGCAGCAATGGCAAAGAGACCATGCAGCTCTTGGCAAACAGCGCTAAGGTCACCGGTGCCAAGAAGGCTTGCTTGGTAGGCGCGGTTCGCGGGAGCTCTGGGCACCCGTGTTTCAGTCTCATGCTTTGCTTTGGGAAGGGTTGAGGTGGATTCTGGAATAGCTTGGCTTACGAATCTTGGCCCTATATCTATGGCATCCAAACGGCACGTCTTTTCTTGCAAAGAACCCCAACTCAGTAGGACTGTCAAGTGCGAGGATCCGACCAGAAGATAGACTCATCAAACAGGTGGTGCCATCCACTTCCATCCAGCCACTTGGGTCTACTTCTTCCAAAAGCTCCTAGTAGCTTCTTGCTCCTGCTAAGGCCAGTTTCGCCCTGTTCGTAGCGTCCGATCGTTCCTAGTAGCGGATGCCCTTTGCTCCTTGGGCCCGCCGACCAAGAAGCGGACCAACGGACCAACGCCCTTGCACCACGGGGACCGGCATGCTTCCGCCCACCGGAAGCACCGATCCTTTCCGCCTGAGAAAGAACATGCGTGTGAAGAAAAGGTCGCAAAGGTTAACCTTTCGATGAGAATCCTAAGGTTTGAGATTGTTGGGTTCTTTGTGTGATGGCGATTGTGTGTTCTCGATAGGTTCCCTTGCAAGACAATATATATCATGGAAACAGAATGGTTAGCATGGTTATTTATCCGCTGCACATCTATGTTCCAAACTGAGGGAGTCAGCATACCACCACAGTCCGTGTTTCCGAACCAGCGGGACACGAGTGGTTGCCCGGTGCCGTGCCGAAGGCATCAACTATCGGGACACCTCGGCAGAGCTTCGCGGCTGCATCAATGATGTGTACAACATGCAGAAGGTCTTGGTGGAGCAGTATGGCTTCAAGATCGAGGTTCTGATGCTTCAAGATCTGTTTCCGCAAACGTGCATGCAAGAAAGCTGCCGTAGCTGTGTGTTAGGTCATGCCTCAACTGGCGGTCATTGATCGTAGATGCATAGTAATGATACGGGTCGAGTTGAATCACAGGGTTGGATGATGTTGCCATTGTCTTTTTGCTCGGGGTTTTGCTTAGCAATGCTTGGCTGGGCTGTTCTGCTGTCCATGATGCCTCTTTCGCGAACACGAACACGTACCAACATTAACAACACCCTTCTTCTGAGGTCTAGCATCAGGAGGTGGTGAGTATGCTTCATTCGACTGTATGATTCAGCTCGCATTCCCACTTTTTCTGGACATAGTGATAGCTCCATGGATTAATCGACAAAATCGGGTTTGACAGGCTGTCATGTGCTTGGTGTCTGTGGCTGATCGGGTGATGGTGATTTTCAGCTTCCCGATGGGTAATTCACCTTCTGGTCGTTTTTCTACTCTTTCCCCTGGTCAGCGAGGGCTCGAGCTGGAGGGCATTTGTCGCGAGGACATCCTCATGATCAATGAGGATCAGGAGGAAAGCAAGTGGCCGTACAAGAAGGTGATTCTGGAGGGCATGGACTGGCTCTACAAAGGTGCCAAGCCAGGCGCCTCGGACCTGGACCTCGGACCTCACAGGGTGTTGATCCACGCTCTGCTCGAAACTGGAATCAGGTGGGTGTGCCCAAGACAAGACCTCTCGAAGGAACCAGGGTTTGGTGGAGTTTTGTGGGTAACAAATCCCTGGTGCCCACAAAAGGTGGAGTAGAAGCACGCTGCCGCTACACCCTACAAATTCAAAGTGGAACTTGCAATCTACTGGATGGCGAGTCTTGTGAGTTGCTTGCCTCGCTCGTGATGTCGTTGTTAACATTGTTTAGTGTTCTACTGGTGTTGTTTATTTGACTTGGAGTATCGAGGGTCATGTTTTTTAGCTTTGACATTGAGTTTTCTTTGCTTTAGTCGCAGGCTTCTTTGGTTCAATCTGCAAGTCAAAAGCCACAAACTATATTAAACACACAAACTTAAAACATCCTAAACCAACAAATCCTCAAATTTTCGATTGACAACAAGAAATAGCATACCTAAAAGAAGAGATGTCCACATTTGGCAGCTAGGCTGCCTAAGGAAGCCTCAAAGCTAGTTTGAGGTGACGTTTATTGTGTGATATGCAGTAATCCTCAGAAATGTCTCCCATGTTGTGGTCAACTCTCTTCACATCAAGCTTCTTTGGGGTATTAGTGTCCTCCTAGCACCCTTTTTCTCCCCAACATATAAAGGAGAACCGGAAACACAAGTAACAATGAAGATTTCATGTAAAAATTGTTCCTGTTTGACCTAACCAATACCAAGAATACATTCTCACTAGCAATGAAGATTGCACGTGTAAGATGTTCTTTGAATCTAGTCTATGCCAAGAACACAATCTACAATCGGTTTCCCAATCCCCGATTAGAACATCAGTCATTTTGATCATTCGTTTGTGCTCTTGCTGTGGTCATGCCTGGCTAAAGTCCGAAACCTCAAAGCCATTGGCTTGCAACGGAGAAGGCTCTTCGAAGGGGGTATGATGTCATGATATTTCACGCTGTACTTGCTGCTAATCCAGCCTGAAGACTAGTGAAAAAAAAAAACACTATGTGGCTGCCTTTTGAACAAAATATTGCCACGTTGCTGCTTTGATTTGGCTCAACCTGGTCCCTTCTGCAGAGCACGACCACCACATGGCAGAAAAAAGAATTTTTGCCAATTTGTTCACTGGCCGATTGTTCGTAAACGACGAAGGACATCCAGCACCACTTGTGCGTGTCAAGGGCAGTATAGATTGGGTCTCTCCTATCACCTGTAACAGTCAGTATACACAAGTGTCACTATTTCAGAGAAAGGCCTGCAAACTAAGCATCATCATCCACTGTTACAGGTTATGAGATAGACCCAGGACCCGTAGAGTGACCAGTCAAAGACCCGTAGAGTAAGTACTGTGACCGACCTGTCAGGGATGTAGTCCGTCGACGTGTCTGACGGTTCGTCCTGCGGTGGACGTGAGGTGAATCGGGCCGCCACCGGAAGGGTGGCCAATGGTGGCCACGTTCGACTCAGACGAGTGACTCGGGGACCTGGAGCCGGGCGGATCCAACCGAGGTGATTTGCTCTTTTTCCACTACAGTGGCCATGGCTCGCAGTACCAGGCGGACAAGAAGACGATGCCCGCAGATGCTTGGACGGACAAGGGGATGATATTGTGTGCCCCCGACTTTGGTTCAATCGCCTGTCGCAAACCCCCAAACTTCCCCAAAGAATCCCTGGAAACATCGGGTTTCAGATCCTCAAAATCCTCAAGAACCTCCTCCATTGGGGATGTCATTCGAGGTCTAGGTCGAAAAAAACACCCTCCAGGAATCACCGGGGCACAAAAATGTATATTCAAGGAGCATGTACCCGGTACCCTGTTTTTGTGGAGATAGACTCGTGATCCCCAGGACGTCATTTGCCCCTTGGACTGCGTCGGGGACGAGCCATGGCCAGATGCCGTGATCCTGGAGTCTTGGCGTCGATCGGGAACGAGAGCGAGATAGCTGGGCGGTCACAAACGCTGAAGGAGCTACGCCGCTCTAAAACATACTCTGACAGTCCATGGTATCGGCACTGTATGTAAACACTCCCTGTAAAATCATCATGGAAGTGGATGGCACCACCTGTTTGCTATTCAGAGAATGGTCATCGAAGGAGCCATCCATTCATCCAAGGAGTCCACTTCGATTTGGGGAGTTTACGCGGACAGACCATGGTTACGCGGACAGACCATGGTCTCTTAAGAAAGACGCCTTCTTTCCTTGACAAATACGGGTTTTCCATGGTGCGATCCACATGGTCCCGTTGTGATGTGTTCGTCAGAGTGAGAAGTCAGGGTGTGCCCTCGTGTGAACTGACTGTTCGCCTTTGGCATTTGGAGGGTTTGGACATGTTCGGATGATCTTTCTCTACCAGGCATTTGAATGGGATTATCCTCCGACCCACTCACATTGAAAGTGGATGGGCCAAGTCATTTTCCCTGTTCGTTCGGAGAATTTTGTGAGTGGCCCTGACAAGGGTCTTTCACCTGGAAACGTGTTCCCTCTTTTTCAAGGAAAGACACCGGAGGTGTTTGGGTGACTTTGGTAAACTTGGGTGGCACTTTGGGATACTTTGGGTGGCACTTGGTGTTTGGATGTTCATAATCAACATATAGGGGCGAAGCATGAACATGTGATTTTATGTGTGTTTCTTATGTGTATTTTCTCCAAACAGAAGGGGTCCTAGTTTCCCTTCTTGGTGGCGAGAAGCAACCAACACCCCTTGCGCACGTTGGCGGGAAGCGAGCTGCCGAGTCTATGGGAGTCAAACGGGTCGACGACGGAAATGAAATGGGCAGTCCACAGCCCGATTCAGGGCATCGTGTTTTTCCCCAACAGCGAAACTGGGAAGGTGTCTTCAGCCATAGTACTGAGCGAAGACTTCGAAGCAAGCTCCGGAGCAGGTTCCGAAGCAGGTTCCGGAGCAAGTTCCGGAGGAGGTTAGAGATACAACAGAGCCTTGAAGACATCTGTGGGGTAGGACTTTTTTGATGCACATCTAAGTCAATCGCCCGGCAAAGAATTCGGTTCATCTCAGTGCGTGTGATCTCTCAGGACACCGAGATTCATCAGAAGCTCTATGACCCGTTGCCTTTGGGTTGTAAGTCCATTTGCCTCTTCGACTGTTGCCATTCGGCCACCGTGGCCAACTTGAGCGAGACCATGGTGGTCGAGCAAGGCCCTGTGACGGCGGACATGAAAGAGGCCTTAGTGACCCAGAGGCAGAGGAGGTTCGTTTGGACCGTTCGATGGTGGGGGCGAATGGTTTCCCATGTTTGGTATGAATGGTATCCCCAAAAATAGTTCATACATGTTCATAATAACATTGCTATATAATATATATATATAGTAACTTAAAATAAAACACACTATATATATATATATTATGCATATATATATAATATATATATATATAATATACTGTGTTTTATTTTAAGTTACTATAAGTTTTGACATTGTCATTGAAGGGTTGAGGGGGCTATGGGGGGGGGGGCTATTGCCCTTATGCTTTGGTGTTTGCTGGCTGGAGTGATCCATAGGTATTAAAGCTTTAATAGCTTTGGTTAAGCCTTTAATAGAGTCTTCACCAGGCCTATTAAGGCTTTAATAGAAGCTTATGGATAAAGCCCTCTTAGAGCCTTAACAGCTTTGGTTAGCCTTCTGATAGTATTGAATCACCCCCTCCGCCAGAAATACATTTACCAGGGCCGGATCATTGTGGTTACTTTTTTGTAGCTTTGTTTTGTCACATGCAATAGGCCAATGGGGCTCAAACTTGCATTTTTGGGCAACGTTTCTTGCATCACCTTGGGGCTGGATTCTGGCCTATCAAAGGCTTAATCAGGGCTTATCCAAACACCCTCCTGCCCTGCTGATTGCCCCTTAACCAGTGCTTATCCAGTGCTTATCCAGAGGGTCCAAAAGCTGCTCTTTTGGGGGGCAAATGGTTTGTGTTTGGTGGTTTTGAAGCTTTTGTGCCATGGCCACAATGTCACAAAACACGTGGACAAAAAAACAAAGGGGCGCTATTTGTGCAAAAATGCATTAACATTAGAAAATGGACAACCCATGCTCACTTATCAAGGCCCCAAGCACAAGGCCACGAGCCCCCCCCCGCACAACCCCCCCTAACCTTCCGTAACATTTCCCAACCCTACAGACCTCATTTGGTTTGAGGGATGAATTCTGCGACTCGATGCAGTGCGAAGCAAACGCACCCATTCGGCGACCGTCGGGTCGATCGCCACTTGACACGGTGCCGCCCAAGGCCTCCAAGACCCAACAGGAAAGGTCGGAAAGTCCCGTTCTTTGAGAGCTTCCCACTTCCGAAGTTGTTGGCATCAAGTAGGTCATTCCATGTTTTGCACGGAACGTCTTCTGAAAACGCATGCTGCTTGTTTTGGGTCGGAGCTTCAAGCCGGATCAGAACGTCTCGGGCCCCAAGCTCGGTCAGAGCTTGCGTTTCATCGTGTTTCTTTCGGTTTCGAAGGGCTAAGGGGGTTCGAAGAGGGGAAAAACACCTGCAGCCAGACCCCCTGGTTGGCAGGGCAAAGAAACCCAGTCTACCCAATGGTGGGGAGGTCTTCCTATTGAAATGCACACCCAGATTGGACCTCCAGATGTTGGGCATTGAGTTGATGTTGCTTTTCCGCACCTTTCTGGTGGCCTGTGATGGCAAGGTGATGGTGTTCCATGGTGTTCCCCGATCTGCTAGACGGAACCTTTTTGGGTGGCATGTCTCATCATTTCTCAATATAGGAGCGATTTCCCATCGACAACCCCTGGAAATGAGATTTGCCACATATACCGATAGCAAAGTACCTCGGAATGTTGCCCTTGTGGACATCAAAGTCCAAGAAATATGTTTGTTAGGCTCCGGGCATGTTTCGCCAATTTGTCTCTGGAGCCGCTCATGATAGTTCCAAGGTGCAGCAATTGCAGAAGAGGAAGGACGCCGTTGCTCAGCTCCTGGAAGGACTTGAGAATCAAAGTATGAAGTGGACTGGTGATTTCAGTGGATGATTGGTGAGTGGGGGACAGACCAACCGCATGGGTGAAAGAACCCGGTCTATACAATTCTGTCAGTTCTGTTCAAACATCGTTTGGCAGACGCATTTGTAGTTGTGTGTTGATGGTGTGAAGATAAGGATGTTGAACTTGTTGTTCAACCTCTTGTTTCCTTGTATTTCCTTGGCGCCCCAGGTTCAAGCGCGTTTGCGCTTCTACCAGGAGGTGAACCAGGGGAAGCTGGACTTGAAGAAAAAGAGTCGGGAAGAGTTGCTGCAGCTCTTCGAGAAGCACCAGTTCCCCAAGGGCCACGGTGACACGGGCTATGCGTACTTGCTGAACCAGAAGATCATCGCCTTTAGCACGGAATCCGTGAAGCACATGGAGCACAAATTGGCTCGGAAGGAGCGCCGATGTGGCGGGGCACACAAGGGATTGAAGTGCAAAGACCTTTTCCTTTTTCATCCTCCATGACTTAACCTTTATGAAATGGGGGTTTAAGGTAAGGAGGACCCTTTTTCGACCCAGTCAGTGTAGAACCTTTTCACCCAACCCACTCCCCCACGACCGACACGAACAGCTGGCTCAGTGGTCCACCCGTTTCGTTCTCCGTGCGTCCATCGCATGGGGCCGAGAACCGGAGTACGTGCGGTGAACCAAACCGGTCCGGTTCGTCGGTGTAGGGCCCTGATTCAGGTGTAGGGCTGTGTGGCCAGGCACCTCCTGAACTTGGAAAGCGAGACAGAAACCTTTCTTGTGAGAAGCAGGGAGCTGCAACCAATATGGTGGAAACCTCAACCCCCAACCTTTTGGCAGGGGTCCTTCTCCACCTTGACCCGCAGGGGTCCTACTCCTCGCTCCCCAAACCCTTTTAGCCTGACCGAGACCACTTACAGGCGAGAGCTGTTGGAAGGTGCTGGTCTTTTCTGATCGTTGAGTGTGTCTGTGTGTGAGACCGGATTCTTGGGGGAATAGAGTCATCATGAGTCATCAGCTTTCTGGGCTTGGAGGGTCCAAGTACCTTCTGAGATCTTCTGAGATGGTACTTGGATCATTTTGGATCCCTATAGGGAGTGGTGCAGCGGAAATACCGGGAGTTGCTGTGGCATTCGGCACGTGTCGTGGGATGTTCGGCATGTGTCGTGGGTGTTCCCTTTGTTGAGGAGGCTGCTTTGAAGCATGCCCAGAGCTTGAAGGTCGGGGACCCGGCAAAGATCTACATTGGACATCTTGCTTGCAAAGAATTTGCTGGTGACATCCCTTTTTTTGGTGGTGAAACCACATTTAAACATTTGGGTATGATGTCCAAACCTTCTGGTGTTTGGAATGTCTTCCGCACGTTAGTACACACATGCCAAAGCGATGATGACATGTGTTCACTACTACGCAATATGGCAAGATCCCTGTTGATTAGGGAGTGCACCAACCATGATGCACTTGTTTTGTTGGACTGGGGAAAACTGTGTCCCAGCGATTCTTGAGGTGGACAGACATGTAAACACTGCAATTTGGGTGCTTCGCACGGTGCAAAACTCGGATTTTTGCGGATCAATGGGCACCATTTGGACCAACTGCAGCGCTGCTGAGGAAATCTGGAGCAGGATTTGGAAGATGATTACGAGAAGCAGCAGACGAGAAGGGTCACCCAATCTGGCGAAGTGAGACTACGATATTTGCCTCAACCGTGGGTGAATCCACCAAAGGAGGAGGAGTTGCGGCAAGTGAAACTCAGTCAAGTTGAAAGGACCTTTTTGATCAACCTTGGCTACAATGTTTTTCAACCAGTGGTCACCCAGTCTTTGTGGAACGGGAAAAGAGCTTTTCTTTTCAAACCGTTGTACTTTGGGGATGCCCAATCCTTGGGACAGCTGGAGATGATTCCATCCTCTTCAGACTGCTGGTTTCACTTCTTTTTCCTGGTTTTCATCAGTCCTGTTCTCCGTTCGTCCTGCCATTCCTCCTCCTAGTCTCCCGGTATTTGCTTCATGTGATTCCCTGTGCATCTCTGCGCCAGCGGTGCGGCTCGGGGCTGAGGAAAGCTCTTGGTGCAGGGCTGCGGGGAGTTCTGAAGACTGAGAAGTATAAGGACCATCAGCTCTGGGTCTTTAGCGGCTGCCAGGATGACGAAACTAGCGCAGATGCTCATGTGGAGGGGATCTATCAAGGTGCCTTCACTTGGGCCCTCATCAAGGCTTTGAAGGAAGATCGCTTTAAGGAAAGCTATCGAAAGCTGCTGATCCAATTGAAGAGCAACTTGGAGCTGGGGCAGTACAAGCAGGTGCCAGCTTTGTCCACCACACACGATCTCTACTTGGATTATGGCTTTTGTGGGAAGCTCCAGGCTGATGGTTGTGTGATTGAAGGCTGAGACTGGCGATTTTGGGCACCTCAGAGGCCCTCAGTTAGAGCCTTGCATTGCTTAGGATGTTCGCTTGGCAAATGTTGGGTCTCCGAATGGAGTCCTTGCCCTGCCAGGACTTGTGGCCCCCAGTGGAGAAATGGCTAGATGATGATCCCCCCTCCTCGAAAATGGAGGATCGAGGGGGGGGTACCTTTAGGAATTCCATTTTAATATTCCATTTACACAGCCAACATGTTTCCAGTTTTATCTCCGCGTGGCCCCGAGAAATTTTGACAAGCGACGCGGTTGAAATGGGAAAGAGGCTTCAGCAAGCTCACTGAATACAAGTCTGAGCATGGAGATGCCAGGGTGCCCACCAGATTCAAGACTTTTGATGGCTTTCCGCTTGGGCAGTAGATTAAGACACAGGGAAAGAAAAAAGCAGTGCCAAGATCGTGTGAACCGCCTGAATTCACTTGACCATGCTGGCATGATTGAATATGATGGTCTTGCTTTGAATGTAGCCAAAAATAAAAACAAGGAGCATCGCTTACGCCCCGCGGGCGTAAGCAACGCGACCTTTTGGACGGCAACGCGGTCCCACTGCTCGGAGCTCCCTGAGGGTCCGCATCGCTTACGCCCCGCGGGCGTAAGCAACGCGTCCATGCAGTGCATTAGGCAACGCGTCCGCGCAATGTAAATCAAGGTTTTTTATGGCTTTTTTGGCTTAACGCTCGATGTAACAAGATATACAACCCAACGCTCGCTTGTTTTGCACTTCGAAATACCAGATACCTGGACCCCTATCCAATGCTTTTTTTGTTCTCGACCAGAAACAGGACGCAGCCCAAAAGAGACCAAAAAGATGACGCCAAAAAATCAAAAACACAACCCAAGCGATGCAAAATATGATCCAGAAACTGCAAAACAGTGCTATGGACAACACTGAATATCACTGGATCTAGACCGTTGCTAATGCATCATCAGGGTCAAAAATGGATAATCCATTTTCTGTTGGGGGTCCGACCCCCCCACCCCCTGGGGTAGCAGGGATAGATGATGCGAGTATTTGAGCAAATTGACGGAACGAACATGATCAGTATAGCAAGAATAAGACCTTTACTAAGTGGGATCCTTATTGGTTCACGAAACCTTCAAAGAACCCAGAATCGCTTCGGGAGCTGACTTGGGGCCTTTTATTATACAAGCGGCGCATGGCAGATCCTCAGCAGATCTTGAAAGGAAGTGCCCCATCCTCGGATGGCTGCTGAGCTGCCTCGGCAAAGAGCCGAGCCACTTCGAGAACACAGCCAGCGAGACAGCCAAGCGGCAAAAAGTGAGAATTGATTTGCCGTTACCCTGACCCTACATGGCTGACATGTGAATGGCTGACATGTGAACAAGTCTAGGAGTCTAGCTGGCGCGGCCCTATCCATGGAGCCAGAGGTTCAAAAATGTGACTTGAAAACACAAGTTCCAGGTGCACCTTCTAATGGCGACACCGGATGAATATATAACTCCCCCCTGAAGGTTTCCTATTTGGGGAGGTGTCAGAAGGTCGTATGTGTCTTGAAAAATGTTTATTATTATGCAGCAGTTTGTGGGGGTATGTTACTCCGTGTGTACAGGATACAGATGTCTACATTATAGCGGTAAAACATGGTAGTTGAATTCTTGTCTAACCCTTTTGCCTTGCAGAGCATGCCATCGTCGAGCGAACGGAACGAACTGCCATCCGCGCGATGGCGCGACCGACAAGGCTGCGCTTTGAAGCGGTTCGGGGTCTCGGAACAGGATGTGAAGCAGAGATTTCCTGGATGTGCTGAACAAAAACCCAGGACCTCGCCGGGAAAACTGGAAAAGATTAGATAACCTTAGCCTTAGCCCTTGTTGTTGTTTAACGTTTTTTTCCACAAAACATGAACATCATGAACAGGTAGAAAAAAGGTTAACCTCTATTGTTACAGTACTACTCGTGGCTGGGGTCTCAAAATTTCCTGGTCCAGCATGGTTTTAAGGGTCGTTTAGATTCTATTACACAGGATGCCTGGTCAAGCTTCCTTTTTCTGGTCCAGCTGAAGGCTAGAGGTCAGGGGATGGAAGCAAAAAGATCCCGGTGTAGTTCGATGGTACCGGTGCTTGCAATGGTTCGGCTTCGTGTGCTTCAACGAGGCTTTTAGATGCTTTTAGTGGATAATAACAGGTACAAGTAAATTCTAAGAGCTTAATAATAAATAAGTTTAATATGTGTGAGTTCGTGAGGGAGTTGTAAAGAGGCATGCGTGAGGCTATGAAGATTTGATGTAGACGCCCCCCCTTCCACGACATCATGCCAGGCTTAGTATGGCGTAGTCAGAAACAGGATGCCACAGATGTTCATGGCTCTATCGCTTACATGTGGAAGGATGTGGAACATCTCACAATTCCTTTTGGGTGTGTAGTTCAACGATGTTCCAACATGTTCCAACAGGAAGACCGAACCGCAGGCGTTCCGACCCCGATTCGGGAACCGGAAAAAGTCTTCACCAGTCGTTCCCCCCCGCCCAGCGCCGGTTCCGCCCGCGGCGAACCGATGGAGAGGGACCACTGAAACGAGAGCTCCTGAAGCGAACACAGACACGGTGTGACGGCAGAAGAGTGATGACATCGGTGTGGTTCTGGGGGTCTGTTGGGGTGTTTGAAAAGCAGCCACCAGCCAGGTTTGAGGTTTGTGGCCAGGTTTGAGGTTTGTGGCCGAGGATTTTCCAGCACGACCACCCAAGTTCAAGTTCGAGTCCAAGTGGCTACCTGGCATGAAAGGTCATGAGTCCTGCGTGTTCTTGAGCCAGGGCAGTTTGGTCCAACAATGTCTCCCTTTGGGAAGGCCCTTTGATATGCTTCGTTTGGTTGTTTGGAAAGTCCTGGGAAGACCCATTGCTGGCAAATGGTACACGAACATTCAATAATCATCGGGATGGCCAAACGAACCAGAACCGAAAGGTACATCGGAAGCGTTCTCAACTCCGCTTTGCCTCGAGTTGGCGAAACAAAGGTTCCACGCCAAAAAAATCGCGTCTAGGCTGAAAACCGAGAGAAAAGAGTCGTTGACGACTTCAATTAGGCATGTTAGCCCAGCTCAGGAGCTTCAATTAGGCATGTTACCCACCTGGTGCAGCCACTTGCCACCGATCTCTGAGGTGGGGAATGTTTGGAGCATGTCGTGTTTCTTTGGAAAAGGCTCGACAACGGCCTCGCATGGCCGGACATCATGAGGCTTCAGCCATATCCTCAGAAGGTTGTTAGACCCAAAAACATCCACCCTAACCACCGAACCGAAACGGAGGTAGTTGGAGCCCTAGGGTATCATCATGAGGCTTCAATAGTTTCTCGTGTGGTCGACAGGGAGGGGCTCTGCAATTAGTCGCCACATCGAAGTTGGGTTCGGATAGGGCTTGATCGTTGACCGGCCTGAGCTAAGGATCAACCACCAGCACCTGTCCGCAACTTAGAGATGCCTCGAGTGGCCTGGCTTGGTGACTCGTTTGCTCAATCATCACCGCCTTTCAACAAGATTTGGTTGACCATTGTATATACGTGGGGAGACGGGAAAAAATAACTATCCTCATTTAGTTTGGTCAACCTTTCAGGTGCAAGTTGGAGGACCAGACTAGTTATGTCCTATGGACAGTTTGTCCATATGTTGTTTGAATAGCCGGTATAATACATGAAACATCACTGTGTTAGAGGAATGCCTGCAACATAGCCATCATCATCCACTGGGCCCTGGTAATGAGATATACAAAATTATATCTATGCATCAAGCAATTATATAATTATGTCCAATTCAATTTGCTTTTCTTCTCCAACCTCGCTTATGGATAGGTGCAGCAACTGCCCAGGTGTAGTCTTGATGCTCATCACCCATGTTGGCATCCTGCTTCTCAACACCCATCCTTTTCCATATCTTCACTCTCCTCCTTACCCAGCTCTCCTTCTCCAACACCTCCTTGTTAAATGCATCTCGATGCTCCCTGGACCCAGATCCTGCAAAATCACAGAATTACAAGACCACTCACTCCCAGAAAACACGTTTTATGTTATATTATCAAAACATACCAATGATGATTGTTTCAAGCTTTGAAAGGGGGCCCCTCTATCTGTAACCGTTACTGTAACCCCATCAATTAATTTGCTCTCCCCACACTGGGTGGGGAAAAAAGAGCTTCCCCACAGGCCTCTAAACTCATCCAAATTCTGTTCTTCACCTTCCTTCCCTTTGCCATTCCTTCCTGATGGAATTGTTAACCTCGTAGGTCCTTTCCTTCATGATCTTAGAATTTCAATGAATTTCATATATATAGAGAGAGATGTTTATTCGAAATACAAACAGCTTAATCGAGCTCAGTAAATTCTCCATTTATCCTCATTCCCCACATGCTTGCCATCCTTCTGACATGGTGGCTCAGAGCGCTCTTGACGAATCCCGCCTCATGCTCAGTAGCCTCCAAGTCTTCCCAATCAAAGATCCCATCATGTAGCACCGCACCTGACACATAGCTTCCATTCTCATCATGAGCTTCTGAATAGCTTCTCTATGCTTCTTGAGCTAGCTTCTCATTCCACATGCCACTTGCATTCGCTTCTCAGTCTTTGGGACCCCTCTGAAAAGAACAGTTCAGATCCCTCCCCCCCCAAACAGCAAACCTGGGGGGCAAAGACGGGGCGGTGCTTACTATTCTTTGCCTTTCACAGTGACCGTGGGGTGCGACACTAAGCCCGCGACTCCAAAAGGAACAACACCGCCTTTTCTTTCACTTCGCCCGGACGTATCTCCACTCCTCTCCACCTTCACCACCTTCGTTCCGTTTCCCCCCCCCGTTGCAGCACCGTGACGGCGATCCGTCGCCTGATGTCGCGGAGGTCACGGTTTCTCCGCGTTCCGCGTTTCTCTCGCGTTCCGCGGTCAGGTGGGGGGACCGGATTTGTCACTCGCTGCTCTCGGATGACTTCTGGGACTTCTTCCGGGAGAAGCGGACCCACAGCACCAGCCTCTGGTGCGGGCGCCGGGAGAAGGGGTTTGAGCCGGAGCGGCGCGGAGCGGCAGGGTCGGTTCCGGGGGGGGTGGAAGATGGGCTACTCCCCAGCAGCTTTTGGAAAGCCTACTCGCGGGCGGAAAGTCCAAATGAACCACGTTCAAAACTGGCGGCAAAGAACTTTAGTCTTTTGGGGAATTTATTTTTTCAAAACTTGCATGGGACCACACGCGCGTAAGTAAGCTTTTCGCAAGGTTCGCGCAAGGCCTTTTGTTTGCGCAAGGTTGCGTAAGCTTCACACTATAGTGCTTGAATGACTGACTGTTTGTATGACAGACATTATTTACATTATTACGACTTATAATTATACACTGTTTGGTTCAGAATTTGGACATACGGACATTTTTGCGCAAGGTTTGCGCAAGGTTCGCGCAAGCCGAAAGTGCCCTGGCCCACCCACTCCCCACAAACAAAGTCAAAGAATGGGACTCGAAGAAAAGCTCACTAGCGCATCTTCCATCTAAACTATCGTTAGAGCTCGGTCGTCTTCGTGCCTCGTAGCTCCACTTCGCCTTCC